ACTCTAAATCTCCTCAAGTTTTTCTGGCCGCACTGGTCTTTTTAGGGGAAAAATAGTTTAGTTTACTTAGTTTATTTGATATTCAGCAGGGAAATGTGGGGTTGATGAATTGAACTGAATAACTCGTTATAAATTCAGCGAGCTATATATGAGTGATCCCGGTCACTCAAATATAGCCCGCTGAATTTATAACGAGCTATTCAATTCAATTCATCAACCCCACATTTCCCTACTGAATATCAAATCCCTCCCCGGCTTTAAGTTTCTATGGTATATACAACCCTATGGATAACAAAGAAAACCTAGTGAATTGGAAACTAATTATTGATATTATCCGATAATATCGCAATATCAACTGTTGTTCAGACAGTATGAGAGGGCAGATCTAGTGACTTTCTATTAGATGTAATTATTGATATTATCCGATAATATCGCAATATCAATAKAAATAGAGGATAATATCAGAATATAATTATCGGATGTTCGATATTGTGTGGATACCGCGCCTAACTCCTATCGATAATCAAGAGCAAAAAAGCTTACTTTTGAGTGAATCTTCTGTCGAGAATCAAGAGCGAATACTTTTGTGTGATACTGAAMGCAAACGTAYATCAAAGTTATATTTACATAAATATCCAAACAAATRTAAKCCAAGACGATATAGACATGCTCGCGAACCAAGCAGAATTCCACGAAGAATTCTTAAATGTCTCAGGACCAAGAATAGGACGTTGAAGAAGTTTTATCTACAAAAGGATTTTATTTCCTGTATTCGTCACATGTGAAGTTCGGAGTATAGCGCGGGCCTAAGACAATCTGTGCAGTGTGCAAATTACAATTATTGCTACATAAGGCAATGTTTTTCAACAAGTATACAAATTTCAATGTTTTTCAACAAGTATTCAAATTTCAAACTTAAATAAACGATGGATTTTACAGCAAGCCCATTAATTTTAAAAAGTATCTTACCAATCGGGATAGCCGAGGTCGCTAGGCCGTGAAATGCTTCATAGTAATATACTCACACACGCACCTCTGAATGACCCGTTTCCGGGTTGTTCGCTAATAACACGCTCTACAGGAAACGGATAACCTGATAACACCGGAAGCCCACTAACACGCGGTCAACTAAATCTACTCTGTGGGATCCCTGTGTTAATCCAAAAAACTACGGAACCAGGGGGGGGGGGAGTTGATTGTTCCTAATTTCCCGATTACGAACACAGGRAAACCAAGAAGAGAAAAATTCCGTTGCCATTGGAGTAGCCTATGACGAGGAGGCTTTTCACTCTTTCATTCTAGTTAGGTCAGTAGATATGACCGTTATTACAACAAGTTAACTGGGCACGGTAAAATAAAGGCGTAGTGGTTCTCGTTGAACAAAAGAGCTTGAGTGCATTATGATGCTTTAGTTGCCTGAATGTTCTGAAAAAATAAATAGTCGACCAAAATGGAGGAGAATTTGCTGTTCAAATAGAGTACAATGGCATGAA